AAATGAGTGTTTGAGATGAAATTTTAACTTATAAATATAATGGTTAAATCTTGTGTCAGTCTGTTACTCACTTTAAATCGAGGTGTTTTCTTTGTATATATGAGGCGGTCAGCTGCATGGTAATCAGTTGTTCCCTGACCGTGCTCTGTAATGGGTAGCGAAAGTGTCAAGTTCTGTTCGACCATGGATCGTTGAAGCAAGTGTAATTTCTGCAGTGTGAACAGAATCGTAAATGTTAGACCGTATTTGCGGTGAATTAGTTGCATATTTATAGACAGTACAGGAAATTTTGCCAACATGCTTCCTGTACTAAAGTCCAATGTATATTAGAAGACTTCTATGCTGCTCACCAATCTCCAATGTCGTACTGGAATCTGTGAACATTTTCATATCTTGAGTATTTCCTTCAGATCAATACCATCGTTATATATGGCTTTCCAGTGCTCATTTTCTGACAAATTAATGCTGATGTTTTTCTATGTACTTTATTTCTTATTAAATAGAAGTGTCTGTGATTTTAATATTATATGCTTTAGACATTCCCTGTAGAATTGAAGCCTACATCTCAAAACATTGTGGACTGGGTGTTCCGCAAAGTGCGGAATCTTGTCACATGGTTCACTCCGGAAGTGTCGAAAAGCGGACGGCTTCTGCAAGCAGTGGGAAGTCGAGCGGCTGTGCTCCTCACGCCATGGAGACCACTATTCGGTACCGGTGATGCTATGTTGACGGTACGACTTAGCGTATATGTTATTTGTTTTGTTCGTTTAGACTTCCTGAACGTTTGTTTTAGGTGCAGCAGTTTGCGATGGCCTACTACGACTGTGGAAATGACATTAATAATGATTTTGGATTACGTGGTCGTTCGATAAAGGCACTGGAACGACGACGCAGGCTGCGGTCTCTTCTTTCCTGGACAGACATGAGTCGTTGGTGCAACTGGGCGTTTGCTGAGCGGCAGCGGTGGGTTACGTCTTGGTCGTCTTCAGTTACGGTCGACCTGCCGTGTGATGCGTTTTCGCCTGTTCTCCCGGAGAACGGTACTCGCCGATTAGCGTCGACGAGTCGTCCGTGTTTCTGCAGACCTTTGACTTCGACCAGCGATCGCATACAACAGAACAACGGCTTTTGGCGGTCGTTGTGTGAATTCGCTCTGTGGTGTGGCAGCAGCCACGGTTGCTGCGACTTCGGCTTTCACCTGCCGTCAGTTGTGCCTTACTGTAGCTCGACTTCACAGTTGTACGGGCGGCGGTGGCGACGTCGATATTCGGCTGACGAATGTCGTCGCTTCAAACTCGCACAGGCGCTGAATTATACATCGCTTGGGGACACGTTCACGTCGCCTACCAGTGAGAACAACCACCTACGGTACTTGGACCGTCTGCGCTTAGTGCGTGGTCTCGGCTGCAAAACCAATCGATCGCTGAATTTCGTCACCATAGACTCGGACAAGTACCGTTGGTTCTTCAGCCAGTTTGGTTTCACGGATCCTCGCGAAACAGAGTTGTTCATTTACGATGGAAAGGTGTGCCTTCAGACGTTTAACTGTACAATTTAGCATTCTTCATGTCTAAACCCAGGTATTAAGGTTTTTTCAACGGGTTCTGGGTTCTGGTTCGATTTGGTCTTTGTAAGTTGTAACTTCCGAAACGTAACAAGGCCTTCAGTTGATGCCGCCTAATGGTTTCGTTTGTAGTATTTTGTTTTGCGCAACGGTGACGATACTTCCATTGAGAACCAGGTTACATTAATGTTCATCATCCCAGCGTGGAGGTGTCTATTACATTAGACTTCGCTTTCCGTGTCGGTGGTTTATTAGCGTGAGATGCAGGTGATGCAAGTTCGGTGACAATGGGACAATAGTCGAGCACTTGTCAATCGGCTTGAATAGATTTAATAATGCTTAATTGATATTTAAATTTGCCTCGTTCACCGTTAATCATGACGATAGAAAATATTTGCTGTTCCTACGTTCTTTATGCTTTCATCCATAAAGACAGACTATCCTGATTTTATTTTATTTTGAAAAGGGCAGATATAGAAAAGAACCAAAAAATAATGGTCAGAAGTTTTTGTTTTTGGTCTTTTAGACGCAGTTTTTCGGAATGTGTCCTTTCCTCTGAGCAAAAACTGAAGCGTGTCTCCTAGACACTAAGATGAGCACTACGCTTATTAT